TTGTTGTCTGATTGCCAAGGCTAAGACTTCCAGTACTATGTTAAATAGTAATGGTGAGAGTGGACATCCCTGTTGTGTTCCTGACTGTAGAGGAAAAAGCTCTCGGTTTTTTTCCCGTTGAGGATGAGGGTCTTTCGTATATGGCCTGTATGATGTTAAGGTATGTTCCATCTATCCCTACTTTGTTGAGCGTTTTTATCAAGAATGGATGCTGTATTTTGTTAAACGCTTTTTTTTTTCTGTGTCATTTGAGAGGACCATATGGTTCTTATCCTTTCTTTTACTAATGTGGTGTATCACTTTGATTGATTTGTGAATATTGAACCACCCCTGCAGTCCAGGAATAAATCCCACTTGATCAAAGTGAATAATTCTTCTAATGTACTGTTGGATTCAGTTTGCTAGTATCTTGTTGAGAATTTTTGCATCCATGTTCATCATGGTTATTGACCTGTAATTCTCCTTTTTAGTGGGGTCTTTGTCTGATTTTGGAATCAAGGTAATGCTGGCCTTATAGAATGAGTTTGGCGGTTTTCCTTCCATTTCTATTTTTTGGAACAGTTTGAGAAGAATAGGTATTAACTCTTTAAATGTCTGGTAGAATTTCCCTGGGAAGCCATCTGGCCCTGGACTCTTGTTTGTTAGGAGATTTTTGATTACTGATTCAATTTCTTTGCTGGTTATGGGTCTGTTCAGGTTTTCTGTTTCTTCCTATTTCAGCTTTGGTAGCTTGTATGTCTCTAGGAATTTGTCCATTTCTTTCAGATTGCCCAGTTTGCTGGCATATAATTTTTCATAATATTCTCTTATAATTGTTTGTATTTCTGTGGTATTAGTTGTGATCTCTTCTCTTTCATTCCTGATTTTATTTATTTGGGTCCTTTCTCTTTTCTTTTTGATAAGTCTGGCTAGGGGTTTATCAATTTTATTAATTCTTTCAAAGAACCAGCTCTTAGTTTTGTTAATCTCTTCTACTGGGTTTTTTTTTCCCTTTGGTTCTATATCATTTATTTCTGCTCTAATCTTTATTATTTCCCTTCGGCTGGCTTTAGGTTTTATTTGCTGTTCTTTTTTCTAGCTCTTTCAGGGAGTGTATTTGAGACTTTTCTTGCTTCTTGAGGTCGGCCTGTATTGCGTTACACTTCCTTCTTAGGACTGCCTTTGCTGTATCTCAAAGGTTTGGGACTGTTGTGTTTTCATTTTCATTTGCTTCCATGTACTTTTTTATTTCTTCCTTAATTTCCTAGTTACCCCATTCATTCTTTACTAGGATGTTCTTTAACCTCCATGTATTTGTGGTCTTTCCAAATTTTACTTGTGGTTGACTTCAAGTTTCAGTGTTGTGGTCTGAAAATATGCATTCTATGATCTCAGTCTTTTTGTACATGTTGAGGGCTGATTTGTGACCCAGTGTGTAATCTATTTTGGAGAATGTTCCATGTGCACTCAAAAAGAATGTCTGTTCTGCTGCTTTAGGATGAAATGCTCTGAATATATCTGTTAAGTACATCCGGTCCAGTGTTGTTCAAAGCCATTGTTACCTTGTTGATCTCCTGCTTAAATGATCTGTCCGTTGCTATAAGTAGGGTGTTAAAGTCCCCTACTATTATTGTATTATTATCAATGAGTTTCTTTATATTTGTTATTAATTGATTCATATATTTAGATGCTCCTAAGTTGGGGACATAAATATTTAGGTCTTCTTGATGGACAGACCCCTTAATTATGATATAATTCTTCATCTCTTGTTACAGTCTTTGGTTTAAAATCGAGTTTGTCTGATATAAATATGGCTGCTCTGATTTTCTTTCAATGTCCATTAGCATGATAGATGGTTCTCCAACCCCTTTACATCTTTATTTCTTTTCCCTTTCTGTAGCTGCATTCTGATTACTTTTAATGTATTTTCTTCCCATCTTGTTCCTACTTGTTCCTAACAAGTAGTTAAAGTGGTAGTTCAAACAGGAACATCGTACAGCTGGATTAAAAATAAAATGAATAAGGAAATCAGGCAATGAAGAAAAACTGTATGAGGCCAAGGGTATGGTTAGTGAACAGAGAACACAACACTGTGTGGTCTTCTGCAGTTCCTAGAGTCGCCCTGGTTTGGGTTCTGAAAATGATCAATTATGTGATTCATATTGAAACCTAAGAATAGACTGGTGTACAGGCACATCTTTTCTTCCTACTGGAACTTGAGAACAATTGATCCTGTGGATTCCCATAAAGGAAATGCTGTGAGTAGAAAGCTTAGAATTAACACTGGAGACCAGGGAGCTCTGTGGCATTTTTCTGAAGAGGTGAAAACAAAGGAATCATAGATTTTTCTTTTATTTTGCATTGGTAAACGAGCAATATTAGTCAGTCATAAACAGGCCTAAGAAAGTCATGGATAAAACACTTCAGCGTCAGTCTGACAGGTTCAGCGTGGTGTGTGTGTGTGTGTGTGTGTGTGTGTGTGTGTGTGTGTGTGTGTACACGATGTCTGTAGGAGCCAAGAGTGCTGCTGTGTCTAGTCTTGAAAATTCTAATCGGCAAGGAAAAGGGAGACACTGATCTGTCTTTAATTTGAAAGATGTTTGCATGTGCTTTGCATAATGTTAACACTTAAAACAGTTGGCAAACTTGAATAAGAATTCTGTGCCAATAGTTTATACATTTTTGGCTTTTCACTTCAGGATACAACTTTGTACAACCTCATTGCGTAATACCAGCTTCATCCATTAGGTCCCTACTGAGGCCGTAGGTCTCTCTCACTGCTGATCAGCTAGACATTTCAGGGCACACCGTGTAGAAAATGCTAGTGACCTTTGTCCAGTTTTATTGTCATTGCAGTGCTAATGCCAGCTTTGCAATATTTCCTGGCAAGAAAACTTCAAATGATATAAAGGGAAAGAAGAGAAATAGGAACTATCCCTCAAAGTGAGCAAAACGATGAACCTCGAAGGGAAATTAATGCACTTTATTCCCCCCCCACCCCCCCACCTCGATCGGCCCCAGGCTCACCTATTATTCATTAGTGCCCTCCTTTCTTCCTTCTTCCACCCTGGATCTTCTTTAGAAGTGCACATCTCAGCCCAACTTACATCTGTATTCCACCCGATGGTTGGATCTCCACAAAAATCCAGCCAGTGGTGGGCAAGGAAGGGAAGGCACAGGACCGCCCCCTGTGTTGGGGCCTCTCACCCGCCAGTGTGCACTCGGGTCATGGCTGTGCAACCCAGCCGAAATGTTGCTGCACGGCCCACATCACTGGTGTCTGTTTCTGTGTGCTTAGCTTGAAAATTGCCTGCTGTGGGCTGAAAGTGCTCCCAATTTTAGCATTTGTTTTGAGCCCACATCTGCCTACTCGTCCTGAAAGCAAAGCTGTTTGCATGGAACTTGATTGAAAGTGAACATGCCAGAAGGAAATGCTGCTTCTCCCCCACCCTGCTGGCATGGTTTCTTCTCTCTGTAGCTGCCTGTTTGCTTACAGTGTTATTCTTTGCTTTCCTCTTCTTTCAGGGGATATTCAGGGCCTGACCATCTCTCCCACTGGGAAGTTTTTTGGGCTCAGTATAATTGCTGACGAAATGATTTTTTCATTTGCCTCAGAGGACTGAATGGTTGAATCAGCCCAAGGACATGTATTTGGTATTCCGCTTGCTCTTGCAGAGCAGATGCCTTCCATTACAGAATTTTGAGGGAGTTATTTAGAAAATAATAAAACTAACAGCTAAGCATGGATTTTTTTGTCTGTATCCCGCATCGTCGCCAACTTTACTGTAATTATGTCATTCAGGGAAAGAGCCTAACCATTTCCCTTCCCTGGCCCCTTTGTATTGCAAAAGAGCTGAATTGTGGCCTTATTTCCAAGGAAGTAAATCAACTGTGGCCATATTTCCAAGGAAGTAAATCACATGCAAGAAGCCATTAGGGATTTTAGAAGGGTTTATTGAGTAAAATCTTGAATGGAATGGCAAAGGGAGCCAAGCTGAGAGCAATCCTGCCGACAGGGGTCATAGAAAATTAGTGGAGGTGACAGAGCTGTTATGGGTTAATGAAAAGCCCTAGGAAAAAGAAATACAAGAGTCGCTGGAAATTTATGACTTTTTGGTTGTGTTTTTCCGTGAAAGACCATACACATTGTTGTAGTTTTACCTGGTTAATAAGCCAGTGCGAGTGGTACAGAAACATCATCAGTAATAGCCTAATGTGACCCTAGAATGATGTGTCTTTTATTCATGGGATCTTAGATGCAGTGGAAAGGCTCAAACGATCTTAAACTTTCCCCATAGTTCGTTCTAAAAATTTCCACTTGCCTCCTGCTGATCTGTAGCTTTAGATCAGGGCTATCCAATAGAACTTTCTGGGAGGATGGAAATGCTCTATATCTCTGCCATCCTGTACCGTAGCCACCAGCCACATTTGGTACTGAGCACTTGAAATATGGCTAGTGCAAGTAAGGAACTGAAATAGTAATTTGACTTTAGTTAATTTTAATTTAAATTTACCTAGTCACATTTGGCTAATGCTACCATTTTGGATAGGGCAGCTGTAGATCCTTAGGAGTCCCCAGAGCTTCTGAGGTGGGGTGGGGGGGACACTGGTAGAAATTCAGACTTCAATTGGTGTAAGGGGGTAACCCAAGCAAAGAATTAGTGAAGTCCCAATTTTGATCCCAGTCTGATTTACAATCTGGAAATGTCCCTCTTCCCCACAGCACATCCCCTGTTCTTTTGAACATCTGCTGTTGTGTTGGGCAGAAAAGGACTGGGTATGGTTAGCCAGGCTCAGTAGGGTCAGTGAGACAGGGTTAAAGAAGACACTGCATTGAGATTTAGCGACATTAGCACTCTGCTAGGAGGCATCACTTGATTTCATATTAAAGCCCTTTAAAAATGGAGACTAATCTGAAAGTCTGTTACCCATAATAAACCTTTGTGTTTCTGTGCGTACTACTGACAAGAAGGTCTTGAATTCATGGCGTGGTTGTTAAAATTCCCGATGTTTCTCAGCAGCTGTCCTAGAGTCTGCACCCGTGGACCGAGCAGGAGTGGAAAGCTCTCCGGTGGCGGACAGCACGGACCTTTCACCTTGCCGGTCACCCTCCACTCCTCAGCACCTTCGTTATCGTCAGCCTGTAGGTAAGCTCAGAAGGAGCCATGGAAATATAAATGCAAAAGGTAGTTCCTAGCTTCAGAATCTTTTGCCTGTTGCACTCCCAAAATATTTTTTGGTCTCAGTTGCTAAAATTTGTTGGAAGGAAACAATGTTACTATCAAGTAGTGGAGAAATGAATGATTAGAGAATATGTCATTAGTGTAACTAATACTGATTTGCCCCATCATTGCAATGCACTCTGTGTGGAGTAACATGAATCAAGAGGCTTGTCCTCAGAGGATGGCCATTTGAAGAATCTCAGTGCTGCCTTTACCAAAATGTTCCCGGACTCTGATACCTTGTTGTGAATCCCAATGCAGTCTGTATTAAATAGGCTCATCTGGGACACCACAATTTTGGGGGGACCTTATTAAGAACACTATTTCACCTAAAATAAGGTCCAGTTGGATTAATACCCATTAGTGTAATTGCTGGGTCATAGGGTAGTTCTATATCTAACTTTTTGAGGAAACTCCATGCTGTTTTCCACAGTAGCTACACCAGTTTGCATCCCCACCAACAGTGTAAGAGGGATCCCATTTCTCCACATCCTCACCACCATGTGATTTCACTCATATGTGGAATCTAAGAAACAAAACAGATGAACATAGGGGAAGGGAAGGAAAAATAAAATAAGCTGAAAACAGAGAGGGAGACTCTTAATTCTAGGAAACAAACTGAGGGTTGCTGGAGGAGAGGTGGGGGTTGGGGTAATTGGATGTGGGCATTAAGGAGGACATTTGGTGTAATGAGCACTGGGTGTTATATGCAACTGATGAATCACTAAATTCTACTCCTGAAACTAACACAGTATATGTTAATTAAATTGAATTTAAATAAGGAATTTAAAATAAAATAAGGTCTAGTTGCATGGGACCCCAATTATCATTATTGTTCATGTGGCAGAAACTGGTGTATTTTCTATAGTTATGAAAATTACAAAGCATTACCCATAATTTGTTTTAGAACATACCAAATGTCCTCTAATTGGACGAAAAACCATCAGACCAAAAGGTAGAAATCTTTTATCTCCCCATTGTTCAAATAAAAAAATCCAAATAACAGTTGTTTTTTGAAACATTTTTACAGTGGTTTGCCATTAGGGTCTGCATTCAGATAACGTTTTCCTACTAGAAATTAACAGACTTTAAACACTTTTTAAACCTTAGAAATATTTAAAAACAAATTAAACGGATGTGTTGTTAATCCTTACATTTTTCTTTACTAATCAAAAACAAAACACAGCAGTTGTTTTTGAAATGTTTCCTTTTTTCTCCTCAAGCTAGAAAACTATTCAGATGTGAAAGCAGATTCACCCCAGGTAATCCAAGTAAAATGTAAACATTTTTTGACTTTCATACTCCTGCTTTAAGTAGAACAGTTTAGCAAAAGGCTCCAAATGGCCATTTCATTTGTAGCCTTGGCCATGTGGTAATCAGCTCCAAGAGAAGCTAACCTGGGTCAGGCTGTTGTTAGAAAACTCACCCAGATGGATATCAGCCCTTGGGGAGTGGTCCGATTTCTGGCTCCTGATCAATCACAGATCTCCCTGACGTTTGGGTGGTTCTGGTAAATGAAAGCGGCGAGCAGGACTCCCCTGGCTTGTTACAGGTCTCCTTTGGGGTTAGCCAGATCTCTCTACTACTCTTAGAGCTTTGGTCAGTCCAGGCCTTGGCAACTTCCTTGACCATTGCCACATGGGACAGACCCCCTCTTGAGTTCATGGTAACCTGGAAGAGTTTGGGGCCAAAACCTATGGAAGTGAAACTCTCCCAAGGTGAGAAATAAATACTATTCACTTGATCACTGTTATCAGGACTCTGCTTTATAGTCTTTTTTCATATATTTATATTCATATATAAAATTTTTAAATTTATATATGCATTATTTGGAAATCCTCATCCTGTTTGTGAATTAAGTCCTTTGTTTCTTCTCTGATGTGACTACATCCCAGAGACATAGGAACATGGGAAGGAAGCTGAAATCTGACAAAACGGAGGATCCAAATGGGGACAGTGTCACACATTTTCTTGCCATTTAGCTGAAATTTTGCCTATTCATCTGTCTACTTGCCACCTCGTTCCACAAATATTTAAAGGCTACTGCTAGAGGAGAGGGTAGAGCTGTTCTGTGCTTTCTACTTGGGTGTATTAAGCAGCTCTTTGCCTCGCCTCATATTTATTTATTTTAAGCATGACTAGATCACTTTAGGGGCAAACTAATAAAAACCCTTCAGGTCAGAATCACAGTGAGTTATTTTCACTAAAAGCCTGAATGAGGAAAAAAGTGAGGTTGGCATCAGCATTATCAGATGCTGTGCGTAAAATGTCTGAGGAGGGAAGGGGCTGCAAAACAGTGCTCAGAGCATCCTTTTGATTTTATAATGCATCCTCACTTTAAAGGTGTCTTGAGCAGAAAATTCTATAGGTAGTATGATGTAGGAAATTTTTTAAAAACTATTTTTTATATTGAGATATAATTCAAATATCATAAAGTTCACCCTTCTCAAGTATACAGTTCAGTGACTTTTGTATGTTTACAAGATCGGGCAGCCATCAGCACTGTCTCACTCTAGAGCATCTTTATTACCCGAAAAAGAAACCTTGTGCTCATTAGCAGTCACCCCGATTCCCACCCCCCACCCCCCTGCCCCCAGCCTCTGGCAACCACCAATCTATTTTCGGTCTCTGGGAATTTACCTCTCCCAGACATTTCATATGCATAGAATCATATAATACATGCCTTTTTGTGATTGACTTCTTTCGCTTAGCATAATGTTGTCATGGATCATTCATGTTGTGGTAGGTATCAGTCCTTCATTCCTTTTGTGGCTAAATAATATTCCCTTGTATCACTCTACCACATCTGGTTTATCCACTCCATGGTTGATGGACATTTGGGTGTTTGTACTTTTTTGGTTGTTGTGAGTAATGTGTGTAATGCTGCTAGGGATATTCATGTCCTAGTTTTCGCGTGGATATGCTTTCAGTTCTCTTGGGTATACACTTAGAGTGGAATTACTGATGTTTAACAAAAACAATACAGGGCGTCTGGCCCAACCCTTCATCCAGTGTAGGAATGAAAATGAGAATTTTCATTACAGAATATTACCCATCTGCCTCACCATGCCATTTCCATTCTTCTGCATAACCAGGACAGACGGCTGACAACTCCCACTGCTCTGTTTCGCCGGCGTCTGCTTTTGCCATTGCCACAGCAGCGGCAGGACACGGAAGTCCACCAGGTGAGTGTGGCTGAGCAGCCACGTACAGACTGACGGGAATGTATACTAAATCAGTGGCGCTTGCCTGCCAGTGTTGGTAAGACACTGGGCAGCTCACTAAGAAGGCAGATTCCCAGCTCCCATTCTAAGTCAGCGTGTCAGATGGCCTTTGATTTACTTATTATTTATTTATGTACTAACTTATTTTTAATTTTGTTATTTGAGTATAGTTGACACACACTTTGACACTAGTTCCGGGTGTGCAGCCTAGTGATTCAACATCTCTGTACATTATGCTGTGCTCACCACAAATGTAGCTACCGTATTATTGACTATATTCCCTACGTTGTGCCTTTTATCCCCCTGACTTATTCATTTCATAGCCAGAAGCCTGTATCTCCCACTGTCCTTCACCTGTACACTGTCTCTAAATAAGTGCCTTCAGGTGAGTCTTATACTGGTGTTGTGTGGGTGATACTTTGAAGAACTTCTGTATCACAGAAGGATGTGATATTTCTCCCATGTTGTTTTATGGAGTTCTCTAACCTTTTTAGCCAAATTACCAGGAACAAATGTTTCCTTTATAATTGAGTAAAATGGTAAAAGCATATACAAGGCGGTTGGGATGGCTTATGGAGGGAAGGAGGGTGGAGGGACTATTGCTTAACAAATCTGTATGTGGTTTAAACAACTTTGTTGCTGTGGGGGTCTTCACCTAAACTAACTCCATGGGTTCAGATCATCACGCTTTGTAGAACCATGAGTGAGGGTGTATTTTGTTAATTAGCCATTGTTCGCTTACCACAAAAGAGTCCATTTCCAAAGCCTATGAATCTGTATTCAACAATAGTAACTAGTAGTACTATCTGTGTGAATTCTTTCTAAATTGAAGTAAGAACAAACAGAGATGTTCTATATTGAACACGAACTACCATAGGAATTATACATATATATGTATATATCCCATCTGAGTGGAAATCTTTGCAGATTAACCACATTCCACCTCCAGTGTTTTGTCACACATGATGCATTGGACGTAGTCAGGAAAATTGGGGTATATTTGCTCTAACTATTCTCAAAACCTTCCCCCCAAATTCCCATCAGCATAACACAGAACAGCCTATAACAGTAATAGCATTGATGTCTTGTCAATCCAGTTGACTTCTGTTGTCGACTCCACTCATAATAACGAACATCTCTTTGGTGAAATGATGAAGGAGTCTTCATTCCACTCTCAGCAGAATTGGCAACCAACTGATTTGTTGAGGTCCTCTCCTCCTTTCGTTCTCACAAGTCAATCCATCTTTGGAAAAAGTAACATACAGAACTTCCTCATAGGTTTTATCATTTAAATATGGTTCATGAGGAAAAAGAGTTTTTATGTTAATTCTCCATGAGCTTATTTCCACATTTGCTGGAGGCTGGGGAGGGCGAAGGTCCTTCTTTTTCACCTGGGATTGCAGCAAAGTTCTGATGAGCTTTAGAGAAGGGCATCTGACTTTGGCTTGTGCGTGCATAATGGGCCAGAGGATAAAGGAACCAAAACAGCCAAGTCTTCCGCACCATTGGAACACTGCCGTTTCTGCTGCCTTTCTTCTTACTTCTCCCCTGCTACTGAAATAGCTTAGGAAGAAGGCTCCCTTCACTGAGCCAGCTGAGGAGGGGTGGATGGTGATTGCCCATAGCCAGTGCGGCGAGGGAGGGGCAGGGTTGCCTGATCCTGAACGAGCACACTGCTTTTTTATGACCATGCTGCTGGTGTTGCCTGGAATGTGGTCTGGTGCCACCTGATTCCATTTTAGAAGTCAGGGAAATAAGGGATTGGATTTGGCGGTGGCTGTGGCCCTGCTGTAAGGGTGGCAGGTTGCACATGGGTCAGTTGCAGTGGCTAGTGGTGGTAAGAAAAGGGGTTTATTTTGGAGTGGGGGCCAGTATATTCCTGGCCATATGGTGTGCAGATTGGGCTTCCATGTTTCAGGCTTTCTTCAGGTTCCCTCCTGCTTTATCCTCTCCCACTCCTACCCCCATCTAAATACACAGGAGTCTGGCAGCTCTGGGTTAGACCGGTCAATTAATATGTTTTCAAATATTCACTCCAGGCATTTGAATGTTAAGCCATTTCTCTTTAATTATTGCTTGGAAGGCTTTGCTACTTCATTAAAAGGAACTTCAAATTTAGCAAGAAAGTGGACAAAGTTTTCTTTGTAAAGACCCCAGACAGGTTGCACCTGCTTGGCCCTGAGGGCAGAGAAAGCTGATTTCTTTTTGTGGAACGTGGCCTGGGGATCCACTCTCCACGGTCTGGGCCTGCCTAATTTCCACACACACTGGAAAAGCCTGGATTTTCCCCCCACTGGTTTCTTTTAGGACCTAGAGCCCAGCCCTTTCCAAAGATAGGCAGGTCTCTCCTTCCATATCATGTTCCCTTTGCCTCTATTGGAGGTTCCTCATTGGAGATGAAGGAAGGCCTAATTCTGTGGGTATGATTGCAACCCTAAAGCAATCCTTATTAACTTCACATTATGAAGATTTAACAGTGTATTTAGTACTTGCCTTCTGATTGGCAGCCAAGTTACATTGGGCCCACTTATATAGTAAGATACAGAATTTGGGAGCCTAACACTTACACAACTGCCTCAAAGAAAAAACATACAAATCACAAATACAAACCTTTAGGATAGCTGCCAGGGCTTTGGAAGAAGCCCATACACAGTGAGAGGCTCTGAAGCTTAAGTGTCATTGGCTTCCTACTAAATAAGCTTATGAGTCCAGTCCAGATCATTCTTGGAATTGCAGTAGCTATAGGAAATTTTGTTAGTTGGAGAGTGGGGGCTGGGACCAGTCATCATCATCAGTCAATCAAGTGCCCTTTCCTGTAGTGGAGCTTTAACTCTATACAAGACCGAGATGAAGGATGATTAGCAAGGTCTTGCCTGTCACTACACTGGTTGCAGTGCATTTTTAAGCATCTGCTCAAATTTAGAAGCTCTGCATTAAAGTAGAAATTAAAATGTGTGCATTTCAGAGGGTTGCTGATGCAGGGAATCTGCAGGTGCAGTTTGGATATAGTTGTGATATGAATAGAAATGCACATCCAGTGAATACACATATCAGGGCACATCGTGATGCTCACTACACACCTGCAGCCCTAGGGTTAATTATAGAGCTTATGAAATCATCTAAAGTGAAATATGAGTGTGAGGTGGGTTATTTGTATAAGACTAAAAATAACGGCAGGGAGGTTCTACAAGCAACTCTTGGTTATCTGTGAGCAGATGATATGTTTTACCATATATAATTTACCAAGGTAAATTAACAAAATAGAGGAATGGTTGAATATACTTATGGGAAAGTTCATGGCACAGTTACAATTGCTTAGAGAAATAGTGAGTTCTTTACTGGTAATTACTTGGTACTTGTAAAGTAGATAATTCATAATCTGTTTTCTTTTCTGCCAAACCACTCAAGCCTGTGTAGTCAATAATAGATCTGAACTTGGTGTGAATTTGGCTTGGACCAGTTTTTAAAAATCTTGGTACCTGGCCCCATCCCCAGAAATTCTGACTTGATTGGTCTGCGTACATCCTGGGCATCAGCATTTTTTAAATTTCCCCAGGTGGTCCTAGTGGGGAGCCACGCTGGGGAACTGCTGGACTCTGGAGGAGGTGTGTTTGTTCTTTCTCTGGTTGCATTCCCAGTTTATCTCATGGAAGCTCTGACCCCCCTAGAATACATTATTTTCTCCTTGCATGAGACAGGAGTGGGAGGGATGCTCTTCCTCAAGCTGGCTAAGGCTTAGGCAGTCTTTTTCCCTGCAGGGTAGACCTTTTTACGGAGAAGGCTCTGGGCATATTTCACAACGGTGCTCTTCCCCCTTCCCTGCAAGAGCCAGAAGTATTGTGGGGATCCCCTACAAAGGCAGTCCTCAGCAGTTCCCACGGTAATGCTGGTCCACATGCAGCCTCTAGCAGTTGGTCAAAATGACCATTCAGGGTTGCTGCCAGTTCCTGGCTCCAGCAACTTCTGCTCCCGATAAGCAGATACCAGCTGTGTCTCTCAGGATGCGCGGGTCCCTCCAGATTTGGGGCTGGTCATTTGTCCTGCAACCTCAATTTTCTGATGTGTCCAAGAAAAGTCATTGGTTTTCAGGTTGTCCACGTTTTATTTGTTGTAAAGACAAATGTGTCAGCTTCTAAGTTCTTTACGTGTCAGAGCTGAAATTGGAAGTCTCCCTCGGAATTTTTATAGTGATCCTATTGATTCCATAGGTCAATTTGGGGAGAATTGTCAATCTTAACAATATTTAGTCTTTTAATCTATGAATGTGGAATGTCTTTTTATGTATTTAGCTCTGTGCTCATTTCAGCAAAGTTTTTTATTTCTCAGCATGCAAGTCTTACATTTGTTTTGTTGCATTTATTCCTAAATGTAAATGACTCTTTTTTGATTTGTCAGCCTCACCTGCCTGACCTCCTTCACCACTGGAGGTATCCCAGTTTGGGACCTATTTTCCATTATTTTTTTTTTCAAAGTAAAAAACATTTTTTCATTATTTCACCAAAGATAGTTGAAAGTTTTGGGGATAGAATGTATCTAATTTATATTTTTAAGTAAAACATTATCATCACTATTATTAATGAAAAATGAAGAGCTTTGGTAAATCAAATTTAAATTAGCAATGATTCCAAGTCTTATTTTTAAACACACACACACACACACACACACACACACATTCTCTCTCTCTCTCTCTCTCTCTCTCTCTGCCCGGAATAAGAATTTTGGACCTGAGAAGTTACATCTTTAACTGTACCAGCCTGCACAGCAGCTAGGAATGTTCGTGTCAGGTGGTCACTGCATTCTTTTCCTGGGAAGGAGCCCGGCAGTAAGCTAGGTCACATGGAACACCTCTTCTGCTCATCATATTTTTTCATATGCTTTCAAGCAGACCCAGAGCCTTGTTCCAGCTGGCCTGGGCACCCTCTCTCCTGACCATGTTGCATTGCCAAGTTCACTTTCTTTGT